AGTCTCTATAATCTAGCCCCATCCCACCTCATTTAGCCTTATCTGTCCTAAATCCTACACTTCGGCTACTCCAACCTGCTTTGCTTCCTTTCAACACACCAGACTTCCCTGTCTCTGTGCTATTCTCTTGTTCCAGTAGGCCTCTTTTCCATCAAGGAAATCCTCTTCCTTCATCAAGTCCCAGCTAAATTGCTACACCCACCCCATAACTTTTCTTCATTCTTAACCTTGAATGAACCTCTCCTTTTCTGTGTCATTCAGTAGCACACAATTGATATTGCTACCATATGATTACATTTATACTATCTTGTAATATGGGGATATTTGTAAACACATCTATTTTTCTCACTAAACCTTTGGAGGCAGGGACCATGTGTTCTTTTTGTGAAATTGGTTTTTAGTTATAGTTCAATTTCATCATCCATAAGGACTACTTTAGTGTCTGCCAAGAACCTCCCAAAGAAAAGGCGAAGTAGCTCAAAATACATACATTTTTGCAATCATTAATTAAAATCGAAGTCATTAAGTGATACTTTCGTGGAAAGTCATGATGGAAAACAATATGGTGGTTCCTCAGAAAAATTAAAAATAGAACTACCATGTGGTCCAGCAACACCACTACATACCCAAAGGAAAGGAAAGTCTGATGTTGGAGAGATAGCTGCACCTTCATGCTCCTTGCAGCATCATTCACCACAGCCAAGATACGGAATCAACCTAAATGTCTATGAGTAGATGAATGGATAAAGAAAATGTGATACACACACACACACACACACACACACACTAGGAGACTAGGAGACTAATTTAGACTTTAAAAAGAAGGAAATTGGCCAGGCACGGTGGCTTACACCTTAATCCCAGCACTTTGGGAGGCGGAGGCAGGTGGATCACCTGAGGTCAGGAGTTCAAGACCAGCCTGGCCAATGTGGTGAAACCCCATCTCTATTAAAAACACAAAATATTAGCCGGCGTGGTGGTGCATGCCTGTAATGCCAGGTACTCAAGAGGCTGAGGCGCGAGAATCGCTTGAATCCAGGAGGTGAAGGTTGCAGTGAGCCATGATCACACCATTGCACTCCAGCCTGGGTGAAACTCTGTTTCCAGGTGCCTGTAATCTTAGCTACTTGGGAGGCTGAAGCAGGAGAATCACTTGAACCCAGGAGGTGAAGGTTGCAGTAAGCTGAGATTGCACCATTGCACTCCAGCCTGGGTGACAAAAGTGAAACAACATCTCATAAAAAAAAAAAAAAAAAAAGGAAAGAAAAGAAAAGAAAAGAAAGAAAGAAAAAGGAAATAGAGAGAGAGAAACTCCATCTCAAAAAAAAAAAAGGGAAATTGGTCAGGCACAGTGGCTCCATGCCTGTAATTCTGGCACTTTGGGATGCAGAGGCAAGGGAATCTCCTGAGCCCAGGACTTCAAGACCAGTTTGGGAAACATGGCAAAACCCCATCTCTACACAAACAAAAACAAAACACACACACACACACACACAGAAATTAACTAGGTGTGGTGGCACAGGAGGCTGAGGAGAAGATCACCTGAGCCTGGAAGTTGAGGCTGCAGTGAGAAGATTGAAAAGAAAGAGAAAGAAGAAAGAAACGAAAAGGAAAGATAGAAAGGAAGAAAGAAAGAAAGAAAGAAAGAAAGAGAAAGGAGAAAGAAACAAATGAAGGAAAGAAAAAAGAAAGGATGGAAAGAAACAAAGAAAATGAAAGAAAAAAGAAGAGAAAAGAGGAGGAAATCCTGTCATTTGTGACAACATGGGCAAACCTAAAGGACATTATGTAAGGTGAAATAAGACAGGCACAGAAAGACTTAAATCTAAAATGGTTAAATTCAAAGAAGTAAAGAATAGAACCCTGGTCACCAGTGACTAGGGTTGGGGTGAAGAGATGTTGATCAAAGGATACAAAATTTCAGTTAGGAGCAATAAGTTCAAGAGACCTATTTTGCAACATAATGACTATAGTTAATAACATTGTATTGTATTTTGAAAAACTGTTAAGATGGTAGATTTTATGTGTCCTCACCACACCAAAAAAAAAAAAAAAAAAAGATAAAAATGCGAGGTAATGCATACATAATGTTAGTTGGGCCATTCTACAATGTATTGCTATTTCAAAATAATGTGTTGTGCATGATAAATGCACATAATTTTTATTATCTAATTCATTAATTAGGGGTTGGAAAGGTTGGAGTGAGGAAGTAAAACTTGAAAACATGACCACATCTGTCTAGTTGTCATCCTCTAGCTCCGTTGCATTGCCAGATCCACCCCAAAACACCATAATGTGTCCTGATAAAGATTCAGACACCAACCAATTCCCACCACCTTTTCAGACTCAGTCAGAAGCCAGAAAAGATTTCCTAATATCTTGATCCACTTCTGGTATCTTTGGCTCCTCTCAATGCTCATCCTATAGATATGAAGGATACCTGTATCCCACTCACCTACACACAAAAGAGAAGAAACCAAGAGGGATGTTCTTAGGGGATCAGTGGTGCTCAAAGTCTGAGTTTTTGCAAAATTGCAGGTTAAACTATTTTATTATCGAATTCCCACTTCCGAGGGCTTTTTTTGGGGTGTGGGAGCAGTACTGGTTTCTTGGAATGGTATGGGTATTAACAATAATATGGTTATTGCCGGTCGCGGTGGCTCAAGCCTGTAATCCCAGCACTTTGGGAGGCTGAGGCGGGCGGATCACCAGGTCAAGAGATCGAGACCATCCTGGCCAACATGGTGAAACCCCATCTCTACTAAAAATACAAAAATTAGCTGGGTGTGGTGGCGAGCGCCTGTATTCCCAGCTACTGGGGAAGCTGAGACAGGAGAATTGCTTGAACCCGGGAGGCGGAGGTTGCAGTGAGCAGAGATTGTGCCACTGCACTCCAGCCTGGCAACAGAGCGAGACTCTGTCTCAAAAAAAAAAAAAAAATATATATATATATATATGGTTTTTTATTTAATAAATTTACATATTTATTATTAATTATTGCAACAGGGAATAAAAAATGGCTTTACTGTGCATTTGGTCCTGGAAAGTGGAAGGGTTTTCCTATTAGAAATTTTAAAAGCGGCTATAATCATGCAACAAGTAAGCATGCTTTCTCTTCTGAATCTTCTCTGGCTTCCTCAGCCCTCTGCCTACACCTGCCTGAAGAATTTCTCAAAGCTGAACCCAACTTAAATATAAGAAACCGCCAGGACGTACCAATTTACAGAATTTGATGAAACAACCGAAAATCCTACTCTGGGGTGCAGGGAACAGGAGAATCCACCTTCAATATGAACTGTTATTCGGTTAATTCAATATTTTTAAGAACCACATCAAAATTGTAGCCTAGACAATTGATCAAAAATGTTATCTCGAATAATTTACTACATAAGTAACATACTTAGTGTAAATCCTGACTAAACTTCCGGAATAGTTTGCGTTGGATAGACACCCCAAAAATAAGGTAAAGCATTGATTTACTTTGGACGGCCAAGTTTGTTCGTGGTTATTAGCTCTCTGGAAAGCCTCTGGGCGCTGCTGAAGCCAGAGCCGGTTACCCAGGGCGAACCAAAGATGGGGCATTAAGCACCAAGTCCTCCTAAGTTCTGGCTCAGGGTCCAGAGGTGCGGGTGCCTCCTACTGCAGTGGCGAAGGCTGGGCTCCCGCGATCGCCCGGGGCCGCCGGGTGGTGCTGAACCTGGCGCCACGATGCAGAATCCACCCACTCCGCGCGCTGCGCTCCACATATGTCAAGAATACCCGGGGCGCCCCAATCCCAACCCTCCGGGGGCACCTGCTTACTCGCGTTCCGGACCAAGACAGCTGGAGACCGTTCGGTCCCCTGGGAAATAAAGGCCCACCTGGATTGCGTGCACCTCTCCCTGCTCTTCCACCAGCAACCCTAGAACCTCTCTCAGGAGTCCAGGGCAGGTCGTGGGGGAGGGGCACCGAACCATCCCAGGAACCCCTCTCTTTCAACTCCGTGCAAAATGCCGCCCTCAGATTCCCGGGGAAACTTGCCCACTTTGTAGAAGCACCCCATCAAAAAGGGGGTTGGCGAGGGGCGAGCGGGCGCGTCGCAGACACTCGAACCCCCAGGATACACCCCAGACAAAAACCCGGTTTCACGCTGCTCCACCGCCCCCTCCTACTGCTCCGAGTCGGAGTTACTTCTTGTCTCACCCTTAACACCCTCCCCGCAAGCTCCAACCCATTACCTGAGTCCCAGCCTCGGCGGGGCCTCCGGGGCTCAGCACGCGGCGCAGTGCCCAGGGCGGCCGGGCTGGTGGTGAGGTGGGACCGCAGCCGCCGCTCTCCCCTGCAACTCACTGGCGGCCGGGCGGCTATTTATCCCGGCCAGCCGCGGCCCTGGCTCCTGCCGGAGTATTGGACGATCGGTCCCGCTACGCGCCGACCCGGGAGCCGCCGCCCTCTGCCCCCACCGACCCCCGCTGCGGCGGCGGCCACATGGAGCGGGCGAGCCGGCCCCCTTCTCTGGGCTCCACCTTCTCTTTCTCCTCCTCCTCCTCCCCGGAGTTTTTCCTGTTGTCTTTTTCTCCCTTGTCTCTCTTTGCGGGGCACCCCGGCCAGTCTGAACCGGTTGTGACTGCGCGGGTGGCTGGGGGAAGGAGGAGGAGGAGGCGGAGGAGATGGAGGCGGAAAAGCGGGCTGTAGGGGCGCTGCGCCTGCTCCCGCGGCTCCCGGCCCGGCCAGGAGTAGGGAGGGCACTGCCCGAGTCGCGGCCCCGGCCTACCCGGCTTGGAGCCACCAAGGCCACCAGAGAGAGGTGGGCACCGCCGGCCAGGCGCCCTCTCGGTGCAAACACGCGCGCGTACCCAGGCACCGCTGTGCCCCCGCCACCCTCCGCGTGCCCGGGCGGAGCCCGCCAAGGACCGTGCGCTTTTGGGGGGAGCCGGGGTCTAGAAATGAATGCAAGTAGTCCTTGGTCTCCCAGGCTCCCGGGGCCGCCGGCGCCCTCCTGGCCGGGGCTGTATACCCACCTGGCAGTGATCCCGGAGAAACAGGCACCAGAACTTTGTGGAGTCGGTGCTCCTGGGAAGTGAGGAGTGAGGATGCCAAGTGCTATCCTTTGTGACAGCTCCGCGGAAAAGGATGGCGTCCCGTGGTGCACACACACACACACACACACACACACACACACACACACACACAGGCTGCTTCTAAAGACATTCAGTCTGTCCCGCAGGTGAACTGCTCCAACAATACTACCATTGGCAATAGTATCTTTGGCTGAAAGGTAATGGGCTTGGGGGCGGAGATGGATGTCTGGGGTTTTTTGTGTGTGTGTTTGTTTTTGAGACGGAGTTTCGCTGTTGTTACCCAGACTGGAGTGCTATGGAACGATCTCGGCTCACCGCAACCTCCGCCTTCTGGGTTCAAGCAATTCTCCTGCCTCAGCCTCCCAAGTAGCTGGGACTACAGGCGCGCACCACCATGCCCAGCTAATTTTTGTATTTTTAGTAGAGACGGGGTTTTACCTTGTTGACCAGGATGGTCTCGATCTCTTGACCTCGTGATCCACCCGCCTCGGCCTCCCAAAGTGCTGGAATTATAGGCGTGAGCCACCATGCCCGGCGGATGTCTGTTTTATCCCTCAGGGTCACCGCAGCAGCTGGTGGCTGTGCATAGGCACCAGTGGTTCGCCAACCGTGGGTACCCTCCAAAGCGATACGCACTTTTTGTGTTCCTGTGTGTATGCATTTTTCTGGGAAGCCACACCATACTTTCTACTGGTTTCTCAAAGGGGACGGGGGCCACCCACCACCTTGATGAGAACTCCCTTTATACACTGAAAGTCACTGGTCCTGGCCTAGGCAAAGATTCTACACCTGGCAAAGGGCCGGTTTCAGAAGTAGGGATCAAGCTGCTGCACCTCCGTTTCCTTGTCTATGAAATTTCCAAGAATCTTGCCTGTATCATGGAGTCTGTGTGGATGAGAGCTTAAAAACCTGTGGAGCCTAGGCAGCCGTGTCACGTTTTCTTACAGTACAAACGTGGCGGAGGTTCCACCATTTTGGCCTTCATCATTCCTTTCTCTTCAATTTACTGACTATCCGGTTACAGGGAAGAGAATGACCAGTGCGAATCAATAGTATTTTGTTTTGTTCTAAGAGGGAAAAAGAGAAAAGGGGGAAAGTAACAGTGAGAATGAGAGCAAGGTGGGCCCAAGAATAAGTTCTGGGAGGAAAAATGGAGAAACTATACTGTCGACACCATAGAAAACTTACTTCTGAAGAGGGGAGGGGACATGGTAGGGGATTCTTAGGCTGTATTTTTTACCTGGTTTATGGTTACTCAAGTGCATTCTTTACATAGATAATTTGTGTTATTTTCTCTATATGTTGACCTATACACTGATAATTTGTATTCTTTTCTCTATGTTTCAATAAAAAATTTTTAAGTTTTTTTTTTTATTTTTGACACAAAGTCTTATTCTGTTACCCAGGTTGGAGTGCAGTGGCATGATCTCGGCTCACTGCAACTTCCACCACCCAAATTCAAGCGATTCTCTTGCCTCAGCCTCCTGAGTAGCTGGGATTACAGGCATGCTAAATTTTGTATTTTTAGTAGAGACGGGTTTTCACCATGTTGGCTTGGTCTTGAACTCCTGACCTCAAGTGATCCACCGCCTTGGACTCCCAAAGTGCTGAGATTACAGGCGTGAGCCACTGTACCCGGCCAATAAAATATATTTTTAGCAAGTCTGTCTTTGATTCAAATACTTCCTAAGCACCAGTGCACATGTTATCTTGATTGTTGCTCAAACCAGTCAATGTATATGAACTTGAAACCATGCCTGGAAAATATACTACATCCACCAACTGGCTTCTGAAATTGACATATCCCTGTTACCACTTGCACCAAGTTTTCCCAGATTTTTTTTGGAAGCACTTCCAAAAAAGTGCATTTTTTTATGGCCAGCACTTCCATTTCTACTCAGGCCAGCCCTCGCCTATCAATTAAGAACCAAAAATTAGCTGGTGCTCACACACGGAGTTGCTCCCAGCTTTAGATGGATGCAGGGCCAGGCTTCTAATGCAATGAATGAAGTGGCTAGAAGGGAGCTTGGAGGGCTCAGAGAGCTGGAATCTGGCCCTGAGGCAGTGGACACTTGGTTCAGGCAACTGTTGCCAGGCTGGAATGTGAAAATTGCCCCCATCATCTTGTGAAGGTTCATTGTTCAGTCACATTGCAAGAGAGGATTGAGACATGTAAGAGAGAACTCAGAGATCTAGTCAAGCCCTGGCACTTTACTTGCAACAGGAATTTGACTGGGAGAAGCTCAAGGTGTGTTCCAGATCACTCTGGGGGTGAGGGAGGCAGATAAGTCAGCAGAGATAAGATTAAAACCACCTCTCTATGCCCCCAAGTTTTTACCTCCAGCAACAAAAAGGATGCAAGATTCACTGCCTTTGAAATAAAAGGAACCTGAGAAATGCTTTTAAAGAAAAGTTGAGGTCGGGTGTGGTGGCTCACACCTGTAATCCAAGCACTTTGGAGGCCAAGGCGGGAGGATCGCCTGAGGTCAGGAGTTCAAGACCAGCTTGACCAACAATGGTGAAAGCCCATCTTTATTAAAAAAAAAAAGTAATAATAATAAGGAAAATAAAACAAAATTTAAAAAAAGAAAAGTTGATGCAGAGGTGTCAACTGAATAAAGGAATCCATTCTTTGCTTTGTATTGTTATTAGGAAGCATTTGTAAAGAGCTTCATAATTTGTGAATTGGTCTAAGATCTCCCTTTCTTAAACTATTTGTTACCTTAGTCCTTCAGAGAATTAGATGGATGGAGAAATTAACCTAAAGTTGTTCTTTGGTCCTTATCCCAGCAAGGAAGCAGAAACACAAAACGCAGAGGGCAGAGCAAGGTGTCATAAGGTCAGGGGAAGGTGGTGCACTTGACCAGCACCCGATTCACTGGTCCAGTGCTTGCCTGGCTGACCAGACTTTCCTCCCTGACTTATCACACCATGCAGGTTTCTTATCTTTTCACATGATGTTCTTCTCCTGTTATGAATGACAGCATAGCTACAAACACGATCTATAACTACACTTTGTAATAAAAACAATGAAAGAAAACTGACTTTGTGGCTTTTATAGCAGTTGGCTTGGAGATCTATCCGTAAATTATTTTATTAATTCCAATTTATTCTCTCACACTCTAACAGATAAATGATCAGAAAATAATAAAAGTGGATAAATCATTCTCTCTTATGCTTATAGAGCTTTTGTTTAAAAGGACAATTTTCCAAATGTTTAAAGTGACCTTAAAGATATACTATATTGTATTTTTGTTTGCAATTCTCCAGAATACCATTTTGCATTTTCTTGCCTTTATCTTTTGTCATACTATTGGACTGAAGTTTTTTTTTAATTTAGAGGAAATGGGGAAGATAAATGGCATTGTTTCGTTTGGTTTTTTAGAGACATAGTCTTACTTCTCAACAAGACTAGAGTGCAGTGGCATGATCACAGTTCACTTCATCCTTGACCCCTAGGCTCAAGGGATCCTTCGCCTTAGCCACCAAAGTAGCTAGGCTACAGGCATGCACCACAACATCCAGCTAATTAAAAAAGTTTTTTGTAGGGAATGGGTCTTGCCATCTAGCCCAGGTGTTCGAGATCAGGCTGATCTCGAACAGCTGGGCTCAAGTGAGCCTCCCTTCTTGGCCTCCCAAAGTGTTGGGATTATAGCCATGAGCCACCATGCCCAGACTGGTTAAGTATTGATATCTTCATTTTACAGATGATGACACTGGGGTTCAGAGAGGCTAAGTTACTTGCTGACTCACTCAGTGGGTCAGTGATGGAGTGGGATTCTGAGACTGGCCTGGCTGATTGTTAAGCCTGTGCTCTCCCCAACCTACTTTAGAAAATGATTCAAGGCTGGGGAGAGCTAATAATGAGAACTGACTTCTTACACTAATTTAAAGCTTCATAAGACACCTAAGAAGAGGGTTCTATTATTCTCACCTGCCTTTTGCCAATAATGAACAAGAACCAGAGAGAAGCTAAATAATTTGCCCTCAATCACATAATGAGAGGTGAAGCTAAGATTTGAACCTCTGTTAGGAACCAGCCCAACCCTGCATGTGGGCACCCTTAGTCCTGGCGGTGACGAGGGATTGAGAAAAGGAAATAAAGACAGAGACACAAGAGTAGAATTTACAGCATGGGTCCAGGGGACCAAAGCCGGTGTGGGAACCATGTTGGCCCTTGGCTCTGGGCTCCAAACACGTTTATTATGTGCATAATCTAATTAATCTTATGGGCATGGAGGGGAGGGTGGAGGGGTAGGTAAGATGGAAGATCTCAAGGGAAGTAGTTGAGATCTTTCTAAGACAAGCTAAACTAGTACACTGAGCATTTAACAGCATTTGAGATCCTTCTAAGGCATGCTACACTAGTACTCTGAGTTTATCACCGATTGTTATCAGGGTGCTGCTGCATCAGAAGTATAGCGGATAAGGAGCTACCGGGTCTGACCACACCCAATGCATCAAGGGGCTTTTATCTCCTGAGCAAGAGGGCAAAGAGCAATTAAAATTACTCCATATTCCAAGAACCTAGGCAGAGCCTGAGGCATTCTGTGATCTCTGCCTTGTAAGGCTTTCCTCCTCCTTGCCAACTCCCATCTAGAATAACCCTCCCTGATCTTGTGAGCAGAGGTCGCCTCCCTTCTCAGAGATCTTGGCACAGACCCACTTTATGAGACCTTCATGTCATTTCCATGTTGAGAAGGCATTTGCGGGACCAGAGCAGTATTGCCTGTTCTGCAACCACCCTGGTGTTCCCTGGTGTCACTGCACTCTCGAATGGTCTTTACCTTAGGCCTCCTGTTGCCGCTTGATTTCTAATTAACTGCACCAATAATATAGTTAAGTTCGGTGTATAGACTTCAGTGTACTGTGAGCCAAGTAAGCTTATAATTATTTAGCTAGAATTAACATAGGTCTCCCCCGGCCATCTTGACCCACAAACTTCAGTGACCCTGCTCTGAACCATCACTCTAAATTCTCATGAAAGTGGAAGTCAGAAACATAAAATTATACAGAACGTGCATATTCTTCTTATAAGAAAAATTAAGGCCTGATGAGATTAAGAGAGCTGTCCAAAGTTAG